CTGCCACGGCTTCGAGGAGCGCGGGTCCGCGAGCGCAGGCATCATCGGCGTCGGCATGCTGGCAAACGTCAAGATGGCCACGCATGTCGGCTACATGGCCCGTCCCCTGGCCAGAGAAATCACCATCTACACCAACAGCAACGATGCACTCGCGTCGGAGCTGTCGTCCCTGCCCGCATCACCATTCAAAATAGACACACGAAAGATTGCCAGGTTGCGCATGGGCGAGAAGACCAATGTAATCATCACGTTCGAAGATGGCACTGAAGCCACGGAGGGCTTCCTTGCTCACGCGCCCTACACCAATCCCAACGGGCCGTTTGTGGAGCAGCTTGGGCTGGAGGTGGCGGAGAATGGTGACATCAAGACGTCGCAACCGTTCGGGGAGACAACCGTGCCGGGCGTATACGCAGTTGGTGATTGTGGGAACATGATCAAGGCAGTTGCACCCGCAGCTACAAGCGGCTCAATATGCGCGGCGGGCATGGTGGTGCCGTTGCAGAGTGAGCCTAAGATTGAATTGGACGTTGAGGACGTGGAGAAGGTGTTAGGATAGACCATCGTTGAAGTACTATTTTCCAAGATCACAGATACTAATAGAACCAAAACAGCCAAGTTCAGTTAGGAGTTTGAAACGGATCATTGAGTGCAAGAATCGAAGATTTGTTGAGCTCGACATAAGGGGGGCAAAACGCGGCTCCTTCCCACCTATATTCAGCGAAGCAAATGTAATAATTGGTAGAGCCTAGGTGATTTGGAAAAGGCCAAGGGCTCACGGCATTCCACTAGCTTCCATCTAATCTGCATCATGGACATCTCAGCAACACTCACACCTTAGAGCTCTTGCCTCGCGTAGGTAGCCTGTCGTCGGCTTCGCTACACACGCCCCATGTTCGAACCCCTTGTGTGTCTTAGACGGTCGCTGAGCATGTTATAATGTCGAGTCGGCCATGGGGCCAAATCCATTCTGGTTCTCTTCACTGAAGAAACAAGCCTACACGACGGTCCGCTATTGTATGCAACCCAAGATGGCACATTCGACCGGGTGCCATCCGCAAAGGAACATCCCCCTGCACCAAGTTCTCTTCTGCGCGGATGTCAATCATCACTCAGCTTAAGGCAACAAGATTAGATGGAACAATGCTCGCCGTCTTCGCCGCCTCCAACATCGAGGTACGCAAGGAGGCCACCACACCGGGCCCAATACCGTTTTGAGGATTGATCCAGACAGATCCGGGGTATCTGCTGGTCACTACGGTCATTAAATCTCTCAAAGCCATGTTACATGAGCATTGTCGGTAACTTCGCTCGACCATAGATGCAGACATACGTGACATGGACTCACCGATCTGCGTAGCATGAGGCATCTCCGCCCCGAGCCAAGAAGGAAAAGGGGGGCCAGCGCTGCGCAGCAGGCTGAAAGGATTCTCACACGCCTCTTACATTCAATGGTGGCTGCAACGTTCTGGCGCATCTCAACATCCGTCAAATACATCGGAAATGATGTGCAGTCCGGTATGCAGCGGGCGGAGGAACTTGACAATCCGGTCTTGTCCACAATGAACCTCCTTTGGAAGTTTGAAGTGGGACAACAAGACACGATGATTGAAGGAAATAGCCTTGGGAACGTGAGAATCAATGACATGTAGAAGACCAAACAGCAGAGTCGACACCAGCATCTCTGTAGCATCTTCTCCTACGACCATTATGCATCTTAATCCCGATTAAAAGACCTTGCAACGGGCATTGTTAAAAATGTTAGTGTCACCGTATTCGATCCCCTTGCTTTCCAAAACTCCTGAGACTCCTGCATCTACGCCCCGACTCCATTTGACATGCACTAGTGCCCACATCGCCCCTCCCCATCGCCGCATGCCGTGGATTAGGCAGCAGAATTAACAACCCGTGTTCTCCTGACCGCATCCGACCCGAGAGCAGCAACGCCAACGAATCAAGACGTTCTCTGATATCGCTTGGAACGCCACAAATAATGGATGTGTGATGAGTTGTCAGGTATGGCCCACGTCTGAAGGATGTTTCAATGGATGATGGGCCCCTTTTGTTTCGTGGGAACTCCCCGAAGAAGGGACCCTCTATGTTTTCCTGTGTCCGAGCAATAACTTTTGCTGTGGGCTCCTGTAAACCCTGCCTCGTTATTGTAGTTCTTGCTATCATAGTCTCTGCTGTCGTCGTTGTCGTTATGGTCGTCGCTTCTATCGTTACTTCCGTTCCTACCATCGTCGTCTCTACTGCTGTCGTCCTCGAGATATGATGTTCTCAAAATGACTAGCCACACGCTCCAGACCGGCTTGAACCCATAGTCCTATTTAAGGGTGTCATGATTTCGCATGCAACCATTCTATAATGGGAGTTGCCCTCGGAAACGAGGCGGATATCTCACAAAAGCTTAACAGTGTGACACAGCCAATACCCGTAACAGCAGCAGCCTTACGACATCACGAGAAATCATATTAAATACTGCAATATCAAATATCCTCAATGCCACCATCCTCATCCATGTCTCGAAAATTCCGTGCCCAGCCCTGCACGAATCACCCAGAAATAACCGCCAGCCCTGGCTGGTATTCCATCCCGCGCTCCCGCCGGCCGGCCCATGGCGTCAAACAGCCGCCCCCCTCATAGCCCTTCTCAACAACTCTGAGAAATATCCCCTGGTCCTGAAGCCAGGCAAGCCAATCCGGGTTCATCTCCCATCAACCCGTGACGGAGTTCCCCTCGCCGAAGCGCGGTCTAGACACTCGTCCGACTCTCCAGCCCCTCATTCGAAACGAAACTCTCTCAAGTAAAACAACGTGGCGGGTCTACTTGGGTTTTGTGAGAATAAGAGGAGCGTTAAGGTTGTATCCAGACGGAGTGTTCTGGACTCGGTTGTGGTCGAGGAGGAGTGAAACTCGGGGCACTGGGTGGATTCTATTCATCATCAACTTGACGTTTTCCCAAAATGCTCTGATATTCCAGTATTTGTTTCACCGGGGTTGAGAACTGAGACAAGTCAGAAAGCTCGTCATCTTGTTACAGTGGTATCATGTATCCGAATCTGAACATTGCTCTTCCAATGACACAACTCGCAAGACTTTTACCTCCCGTGTGCTAAGGCTCACCACGGAGTTTCCTCAAGACTCCCAGTGCCCTTGTAGCAACTATCGACTGCTAGACGTAGAGTGCAGACCGAGATTATGCACGATTCCTAGCAATGCTGTTCTTCTCCGTAACTCATAGCATTCCGAGACCGACCTCCATGGATCCACAACCAGTCTAATACTGCATGCAAGTAACGTTGCTGCAAACAGGGGCATGCCCTCCGCATAAAACTTCAAGCTTCACCACCGATCATGCACCAACACCAGGAATCCCTTTGCAAAATTCCCCGACAGTCCAAGACTTCACATGAGAGAAAGTTTTCCCTCGGAAGGGTTGGTGAGTTTGCAGTGTCTCCTCTCGACGATCATGCGCGCAGATCATAGCAGCAGGAACAGAAAAATAAGAGTTAGGTCTTGACGGGTGTCATCCCATCAGATCCCCGTCGGCTCATGGGATGAAACGGTGAAGCCGCGCGGGGCTCCCTCGACGTGGGGGTTCCAGCCAGCATTCAAGATAGAGGTCGTGTTTGAGTCAAACAGACATGATATCATGGTCACGCTGCCGTATAAGATTGAGTGTACGATATTGCGAGAGGAAAATAGAGCTGCTGGTTGAGTGTTCCGGCCAAGGTACACGCTTGTCGAAGCCCAACAAGGCGGGCGCTGCAACCAGAAAGCAAATCATGCACGGAGCGTTGACGGAGAAGCAAGGCGCTCGGCAAAGTCCGTTCGGGACTCTACAGATCAAGTGAGGTGCGCGATGGCGAAGGAAGCATGGCGCCATGAGGTGAGATGAGGCGTCTCGGTCCCGAAGACAGAATGTGGCGCTGACGGACCTCAGCTCGTTGCCTTGAGATGGGAAATTGAAGGAATGTAGCAGCCGCCTGGCAGCCGCTGGCCGCTGCGCCGAAATTGATGGTAGCTGGCGCCGTGAAGGCGCGGGAGCTATGACGGCGACGGAATCCTTCTTCGGAGCATTCTCCAAAACATGACCGGGACTTGCCCTGAGACGGTGTTAGTCGATGGCGACCGAGCTGCCAGGATTTCACGACCGCCGGCCAGTTCATTGAGTAAATGGAGCTGAGGACATACCCAGCTAGTAAGCCCTTACAGGCCTAGTGGAATCATCGTCTCGATCCGACCGCGGATAACGGGTTTGTGTGGGAGAATCTGCGCCGAAAAGTTGCCCGAGTCTGGTTCCCTGGCCCGTGAATCCGCGACGCTGGTGACGAGGGTCAATGATAGCGGAGAAGGGCGGAAACGTTTCAAGCTGGGCGGAAAGCCGCAACCTCCTCAGCTTTGGCTGGGCTTCGCGCCTTGTGGCGTGCTAATTCCTAGGGTGTCGACCCCTCAGCCGAGAACTACGTGTAAGTAGGCGCACACCCTTGTTCCAGAGGTGCGTCATTTGGTAGCGCTCAGAGATCCAATTCAATATTTTCCTCGACAATATGAGTTGGGATGTTGTCATATAGCGAGGCCCTCGCAGCTAGTGCCGGGGTCGCCATGAATAGACCAAGCCGAGAAAACAAAAAACTCCTCGGGTTGCCAATTGCCCCTTTGGTGTACAAGTAGTCTGGAATTGATGATTCAATGTACGAGGAATGAGAAGTGATGTGCCACGTCAATCAGACTAATTGCTGAAACTGCTGAATTAATATGTGAGGCCGACAAGTAGATGATGACTACCGCTGCCTGTGCCGAGCTGTGAAGCGTCGGCTGTATGGGATATATCCTCCAAAACAACCCATCAAATACGCCAATTCACCTTCCAGACAAGTATGCTTTTCAGATCCATGTTGTGACCTAAAATTTCCCTCCCAATCCCTATGAGAAACTTGCAGAATAACGCCATATGCCATGCTAAAATTCATCCATAAACGTCTCCATCTCCATCTCCATTCAGTTGAACAGAAAGAGCTCTTCAGATCTTGTGGTCAAAGACCGATGTAGGCGGGGGCTTGCGTACTCCGTCATAGGTGAAACCAGAACACTTGGGTTGTAGACGGTGGCGCTGGTCAAGCTCATGTGAGGATCCTCGTGTTCAGAAACAGCCCAGCCTGCCGACTCCCTGTGGTTCAACTGAACTGGTGTTTGTGGCACGGCTTCTGCCGTTGCGGTAGCAGGTGCATATGCAGAGGATGTGAGCAAGTCGTCCGCCAAGGGTGCCGTCTGCTGTCTCTCCCCCTGGTACCACCATTGGTCTTCGAAGCCATTGTCGACCGTCATCATGGCTGCGGAAAGGGCTTCCAATTCGTATTTCCTCCCAGGGTCTTCTCTGTCCCGAGGACGAGGGGCTGGTGTAACATTCGCCAAAGACACATCGCGGAACTTCATGGACAGTTCGGATGAGTAGTCGTCAACTTCTGAATCATCGGGCATGCCATATTCTCCAGGCCATGAAGATGCGGACCAAGGAAGCTCATCCTCACCGAGTCGGAACCGCGAGGGAACTTCTGGGAGGGCCTTCCAGTAGTCAGGAGCGCTTGTCGTCGGTGCTCGTGGACGTTGGCGAGGTAAAGCCGAGCTTCCCAGAGCGTCTGGTTCCGCGTCCCAGGGGCTGTCGTTCCAGGGAGGAGGAGCTGAGCTGCCTCGTTCATGGGACGAGCCTGATGAGCGGCTCTCTTGTCGTGACTGTCTCCTCGGTTCGAGATGGGGTGGCATTGGTGGATTTTGAGGGTGGTTCTGCTGGTGTGCGGGGGGTGAAGATCGCGTAGGCTGGTAGGCTTGGTAGGTAGGCGTATTGAGGTAATTTGTAGTTGGCGGTGGTACTTGTCTAGGGAAATGTTGGGCACGATCGCGCATACCCCTTGAGACGTAGGTAACGGAGTGTTGGTTGGGGGCATGTCTAGGTGAGAACGAGACCCCAAACTCGAAATGGACGAATATTTGGGGCCGGCGGCTCGCAGTTGACGCCATGTCGATTTCGATATCGTGGTCCAGATCCAGATCCAGATGATGCAAATGAGGTGGGATAGGTTCTGTCCTCCAACGGGTGGCCATGGTTGGAGGGGGACGTGAGCGGTTGATATGGGGTGAGGAGGGCGGCCGAGGAGTGGGTGCTCTAGACTCGACGGCGGTCTTGACTAGCGTGGAGGTAGAGACAAAGCGGAGATGCAGTCGGATGAGTAGTACCGCAAGTCAAGGAATGCTTGGTACGGCGAGGAGCGGTACGATGCGGTACGGAGGCAAGGAGGGAGGGTACTCGTTGTCTGCAGTTTGTGCCACGACGGGACCGAGCTTTGGTCTGGGCGCTGGTGTCAAAGGTCTGAGGCGTGTGTTGCAACGATGGGCCGCAGATAGCATGAGGCGAGGGGAGGTGTAAGATGATCAGATGCTGCGGATCATGACTTCGTTGGACGGTTGGAAGCGGAAGACTGGTTTAGAAAAGACGGAGAGGCGGAGGCGAGGATGCCCAGAGTAATAGACCATCACACGGCGTGTTGTTGTTGTAGTTGTATCTGAGGAGATGGGTGAATCTAGGGTCGAGGGATCGTGGTCGTGGTCGTAGTCGTGGTCGAAGCCAGCAGAGCCGGGGCAGGGTGTCCGAGGGATGTGGCAGAGACAGACACAGGGCCCCCTGTGCAATGCAGCGCTGGTGTGATGGATGGACCTGAATGAGGCGGGGAGGCGTGAGACGACGGATAGAGGTGTGAGGCGAGGTACGTCGGTACTTTGGCTTGGTGTTGCCCTTGACTGTGGAGGGGAGGGGAGGGTAGCTGAGGCAGCAGAATAAAACGCCGTGCAAGTGACCCGTATCTGTGGGTAATGACAAGTCGCTTGCGGTTAGGAGGCAATCGGGTAATAGCCGTTTGTAGTTTGCATTTCGTAGATTGTCGATTGATGCACGGCACGTCCCCGGAGAGAGGAAGCCGGGACTTGTAAGTAGGGTTGTATGTGAATGGAAGCTCAAGCAATGACAGCAGGCAAGCAGTCAGTGCAATGCCGTACAGCCCCTCGGCGCCTCGTTCGTCTGGCGAGAGCTTCAGACGAACTGGACTGGGAGTCACGGGCGAGGTGTAGGTAATTCGAGATGAGCCGGGGATCACTGAATACGGCCGAACAGAGTCCACGTCTGGAAGTAAGGAGACGGTCTCTGTTGGCAGCTGGCACCTCTTCTCTCCCAGACCTAGTGGGTTGACGAAAAGAAACCGTCAGGTTGCCGTTCCTGCTGGCCGTTCCTGCTGCCAGCTTCGCCTCGTCGCGCGGACGGAACGAGCGAACGGACAGGCTTCTGCATGGCAGCAGCAGGTGGTCTGGAAAGGACAGGAGACTGCAAAAAAAGGCGGAATGGAATGGCGTGGGAGGCTTAGGTTGGCCCAGCTTACCTACCTCACCTCACCTTACCGTAGATGGGTTGGTGCGTAGAAGGAAGGATGGGAAACCTGGGCGGCGACCATTTCGCAGTGCTGCACTCTCACATTGCGAGTCGGTGGAGGTACGTACCTCAGCCTCAGTGCCTTACATCACTGACAGAGGTACTGAGTGTCCTTCACTGTGGGCGGGTTGTCATTGGCTCCTGAGGAACCCCGTGGCATACCTACACTAAGGCACCTTACCTACGTTGAAAGAGTCGACAATGTATCTCGTACGTTGAAAAACAGAAGAAAAACAGAACCACAACCACAACCCAGGCATCTTGTCTTCGCAGTGATCACGGCAAGGAGAATAAAAGATGCATGGTATTGGGCCACCAATTTGGTACTCGACACCCCGCTGCCATTGGGTCTTTCGGTAGGTCCAGCGGGGGGCCCTCCCACTGTCTAGGGTGCGTCCAGGGGCAGTACCCTGTTTGGACTCCCGCAGGCGGCCCCTAAATGAAATCCCCAGACCCGTTTTGGTAGGTACCTTAAGGAATCCGTACCTTGGCCCAATCAATCTTCCCGTCGAGCTGCCTGCCCGCCGGTCTTCAATTTTTCGACGACGGCCTTCATTACACACGCCGCACATTCTGGCTTCATATTCCGACATTTCCATACGACATCAAGCTGTCAAGGCGACGCGACGGCAACCGCTGCTTGGGTCTCCGTGTCTCGTGCATGACCGTGTCTTTGCCCATGTCATTCGTGTTCGCATACTTAGCTAAGGTACCTACCTATCTAGGCATGTACGGATATCGCCACGTTATAAATATTATACGAGCGTCATCAGACCCTTATTAAGTTGTGTACTTTGAGAAGTTGGGATCCCTTACAAAAACAGACAGCACTACTCACTATCAAACGACCACAAGATCAGGTAGATTGATCAATTCGCCGTTGCCGCTGCTCAGCCTCCCTTGAGTTGCTGGCCTCTTCGGATTCCGGCAGCTGATTGATGTACGGTTGATCTATTCCGCTTTCTTGTCTACATTGTGTGTACGTCGACCGCCGCCGCCCCGTCACATCAGATCTGGGATCCGTGTTTTACAAGACAAGACGAGACAATAAGGGTTCATAGGTACTCATCCAAGCAAGTCGTTGCTTTGCATTGCGGCCGTGTGTCCCGACTCGTCGGCCGCGGCCGATGGTGACATTTGCCCCCCGTCCCCTCCGTTCGAGTCGCCAGGTTCCAGCATGTCAATTGAACCCGCCGCCGATCAGCCCCCCGTCGGCCGCCAATCATTCCAGAACAGAGACCCCGCCGTGACCATGTCACCGGCTTCGATTGGATCGCCATTCGAATTGACTCTGGCAGGCGTGCGGGACTAGTGAAACCTTCCCCATCCATCACCGCTGTGGAACCGCATCTCGTTCATCAACTAGGCAGCCATATAAAAATCTTCCGAGAAGCACTCGTCGTCTCCTCGCCAGCAAGAGACTCCTTTTTCCTTGCTGTAATTCCCGCCTCCGCATGCCGAAGGCCGGAACTGGGGCGGATAAGGCAAGGGAGGTTTGATAACAAGAACAGGAAATGGCTCAACTGCAGCCAAGTTGTCCATCATCTGCCGAGGAGGGGGGGGCCTATTATCATAAGGTGGGCATCATCAAATCCTGCAGTCTGATATGGGGCACCAGATTCATCATGACATTTCGGCCGCAAGATTGCACGGATGCGGTCAGCGAGTGTGTGATGACAGGACACAGATTCAGATCGAAACACGCTGCCTGATGCAGTGCCGGAATTCCATTCTCGTACGGATACTGGACGTTACCTCATGGAACCTTCCAAGTCGGCTTCCACAGGGTGGACCGGTCAGCACCTAAAAAAACAAACCCAGCCATCACGCCGCGCACACACGCCTGCACAGCATCTGTAGCCCTGCACAGGAGATATTGATAGGAAATATTCCATAACCTGGCTATATCGTGGGTAGTGCCGTGCGGCAAGGTGCAGGGAAATGAGAGCAGCTTCACCTGAGAGCCAATGACAGAAGCGAGCCTCGAAGGATTGTTGTTAAATGAGCTCAACAAGTCTAATCAGTTTGATCTTTTGTTTGCTTGGTGCCTTGCATAGAGGCACGCGGCACGGTGAGCTGCTGCCGCCAAGCTTACATAAGGCGAGAGGTCAAGCCACACACACATGGAGACTTCGCCACGGACCATCCACAGCTATTTTTGTCCCCTTCCTAATTCGGGTGCACGGTTGCAAAAAACTCCACTTTTCCCGACGTTCCTACCTATGGAAATCCGCCCCGATCACACCCATCCCGATAACATGGACGGCTCTGAATCCATCTCGGCTGCAAGCATAAAGGCACCTCCGCCTTGAAATATCGGAAGCCTGGAATCCTTTCCACCAAAGTGTCTATACACTACTCTGGTCCACCGACCGCGGCTATCGTTGGCGCTTGTAAGCCTTCGCCGGACAGACGCCGCAAGCGCGGCTCAATGCTCACGCAGGATGAGCCCTACCGGCACCGCCTCTCCTGCCTATTTCGAGGTCCATTTTCAACCTTTTTTCTCCTTCTGCAACTCGCAATCCCCCATCTCATCCTGGAACCGAAAACGCCAACACTGACGGCCCAGAATCCGTTTGCCTGAGAGAGAATCCGCCATGTTTGGCAATTTTGAGTGGTTGCCTTTCGTGTTGGACGTCTTAGCTCACGATCCTAGTCCACGATCAAGATCTCATCGTCCGAGCTCTGACGCCGCAGCCATGCCGATGGGTCTCTGCTATTGACGTCGTTCTTGCTTTCGCGTTCCAACACTTCGACCCTGCAACAAGCGTCATTGTGCAGCCCTACTGACTCCCGGAAACTCGACGACATACGCATCGGCGAAAGCTTTGATGGCCTGATTATGCCCCTTGCGCCAGACACGAACCACCCAGGCCGTGCTCCATGCGCAGCCACAATACCGTGTTGGAACTTTGGCCGGGAAACCAGCATCTGGAAACTTCTTTATTCAGGCTAATTCAATCTAGAAGGGTGCCGTATACCCTCTATTCAATTCTAAAATTACAACCCGCTACGCCAGACATGGAGCAAATCCAGCCTCGACTCCAACAAGCACCCCAGCCCGAACACACCAACAGCCCAACAAACACACGACCCCCAAAGCCCATTCATCGGCAACTCACACTGCGCCAGACCCCTTCCTCGTCTCTCCGCTGGCATCTGTCTCCCAGAAGCGATCTTTGCTGCGATCACGCCCCCGAACCAGCCCTCCGAGGTCAAACGGATCCACGACCGTGAGCCAAAACGGCCGCGGGTCCTTCCATCCGGGCCCGTCAACCTCCGTAACCCCGTCCTTGGCTATGTACACCGTGTACTTTTCGGGCAGATACCTCCGCGGATGCCGCACGTTGAACATGACCACGTTCGCCAGCATCAGACTCGCCTCAAAGACGTAAAAGAACCACTCGTACCGGATCGCCGGCGAGATGTCCTCGACCTTCATGTCCGCGTCCCATTTTGTGTTCGCAACCCCAAAGTACTCCACAATCCTGTACACCGTCCTCGTCAAGATCAACAGGACGCTGATATACAGCGTCGTCAACGGTCCAGCCACCCCCCTCGTCCTCGCGAGCCCCAGCTTCGCGCACCGCCGCTGGAACGCAGCAGTCAGGGCCACGAAGCACGC